ATTTGGGGGGGGGGGGGGCGTGGCAGAGGTGAGATCCTGTAAAACTGGTTGGGAAAGACTGGAACCTAAGTTGTGTTGTCACTGCTGTAAATAAGTGCCTACGGACAGCTAACCCAGGCAGCCAAAACGGAAGATAAAGATCCTAACTTGTATCATTGTCGTCCATGATGATTCCACACTTGCTCATGAATTCAACAAATTCTTCTTCTGTGGTGTCCTCGGGTAAACCTAAATAACAAAACAAAGTATAGCCATAGACTAGAAGTACTTGACATTCAAAAATAGATAAATAACTTTCGAACGTACCTGAAACATAGACATTAGTATTCTTGCTCTCCTCCATTTCAAACCAAGCTGTTGAAAAAAATGGTAAATGCCAGTGTTATAACCAACAATCAACTGCTAACCAATGATTGGGGATAAACAAATAGTTGAGGGAAGGGTGGGTGGAGCCAAACCCCTAGGGAATAGGATCCATTTTTTAATTCTAAAGTTAAATCTAGCTTAAGGGATTGGGATTTAAATAGGAGCTGCAAATAAAAGCCAGCTAATCTAGTGGAAGGGGTCGAGGGGGCCTTTTTGTACCAAAATAGATCAACATTCATCTTACAAGGAGGTTCTTTTGCTTTTCTTTTCTGTCCAGTGTCTACCACAGGGTCTTCAACAGGCTAAATTTAAAACAATATTTTATGCCAGAAATCATCAATATTTGACTTTGTTATAGATTACAATATTAATAGTTAATTGTAGTCTATAATAAATATATTTCTATCACAACCTCAGTGACACCTTCAGTCGGTTCTGCGTTTGTAGATTGAGCTGTTGTTTTTACTTCACTAGTTTCTTCGTTATTGCTCGTTTGAACAAAGCCATAATTCATTTGATAAGCTGCAATGAAATCTTCATCAATCTATAATCAAATCAGATGAGAGAAGACTTAATCCAGGCTACGTTTACAGAGAATGATTTTCAGCAGACCAATCTACTTTAGTGAAATTTGATTAACTCATTGAGTTGCATTGTGCCCTTATACATCCTACTTTATTATTTTCAAATATATTATATTTATTGAGAACATTACATTATATAATTAATATTATATATAATTATATATAATTAATATTATGTATAATTAATATGAACTCAAATGGCATAAGCACAAACGAGACGCGAAGTCCCATGCAAGGTGCAAACCCCGAAGCAGCGAATACGTACATAAATATAAATACACACATACATAAAATACAAATATATAAAAGCCGCTTCCCCCTATTAGTATGACCATGAACGCAACCACCTGAATGCTTCACGGATGTGTTAGCAAAATAATTTCAAACTCACAAGCATAATGAATGCTTCACGGATGTATTGCAGGCATAATAATTTCAAACTCACAATATTTACTCTGTCTAATGGCAGATAATTTTACTCGTTGACAGGAGAGCGATGGCATTAAATGGGTCACATGATTAGATTTATCTGAAATGCAATCTGACAAAATCATGCATTGGCGGCATTAATATTTCTCAAAACCTGTAATCAACCTCATTGACAACTATTGTATGAGGAAGACATCAGACATGCAATTTCACAACACCAGCCATGCCGTACAATGGCATTATTAAGTAAACTGGGGTTTATTGAGCTGGAGATGCCTAGTCTGCAGGCGTTTCTCATTCGCAGTCCTGTGTCGACAGCAGTGGACGTGTATTACACTGTAAATTTATCATAATTCTAGTGCAGGCTTGAGTTTTTAGGTTTAATATAACACCACCCCCCGCCCCCCTCCCTGTTCAGAAATCACAGCACCTTAGGAAACCATGCTCTCTTCGCATCATCCCATTCGTACTGAGTGCCATCATTAGGATCTGTGTAAACCCTGGGACCACTGCTAGTCTCTTCTGAAGCCCCTTCTGTAGTTTCTACTGCAGCTGATTTTAATTTTAACTCATCAATGAGCTCTTGTGTTTCCTTGGCTTTTGTTTCATCCATCTTATATGCACGATCACTTGGAGAAAACGTCAATAAAACGTTTTGCAATAATAGTAAATTTTTCAAATTTTCAGCACCAAAACAAGTGTAAAATTAAACATCACCCCCCTGGACGAAAATTAGTTGGGAATCAAAAAGCATCCCCCTGGCATAGTAAGGTAAATAATTTATTCCGCGTGTTTTTTGTGCGTGTTTTTTTCTGAGTGGGATACTCGCGCGAAAACGTTGTCGTTGCGTGGTTGCTATGCAACGCGCTTGGAAACCAAGATGGTTGCCACTTTTCAGTGATTTGTTCACATTCTGACCAAATAAACATCAAAAACTGCATTGAATCTACAAAATACTTATGTTTTAAATATGTAATATGGTAACTTACAACTATTTCATGAAAAACAGGTAAAAATATCAGTTAAAAATGGAAGGAAGTGTGGCAGGAGTGAGAATTTTACCGGCGGTTGTGCAGTTTCACGATGCTGAACCCGGAGTGTTGCATCAAATGAGCCTGAAAGTACAAAACTTGAGCAAATTCTCAAAGTCTGTAAGATTTCATGCTCCTGACTCTAAGGTAAAGAGTTTTATAGTCCTACTTTTCTATATGTGCAACTGAATACGATATTTAAAATAATTTACTGAGGTCGGATTTTACTGTATCCCACTTTATATCCCAGTGTATAAATCATTGAATATATATGTCATATATAGCACACACATTAAACAGGGGGTGGTATGCTGTTGCTTTCTGAAATGTACCAAGAAAATTACATTTAACAGGCATACTTGGGCCAGTGTGGAAAGTTTGTATCGCGCAGCGGATATCTCCGGTGCGCAATTTTGATGCTTTCTATATATTTACTGTTAAATTTTCGAAATATCCGGCGCGCAATTTCCAAACTTTCCAGTCTGGTACTTGGGTCTGCAGGCTTCTTAATTATGACCCGTATTCTGGAAGCCTGCTCAGAATAGTCTTGTGCAAGCCAGGTCGCCCTTTCCATTAACGAATTAATTACACACCATCAAATCACACCATGAAATGCTAAATTGAATTACTTGGGTATGGTACAGTAAATGTAACAGTTGTAAAATTATATAGTCTGTTCCAAGGCATCTTACTTCATGCAAAAACTAATAAATTTCCTTTTAATGTCCAGTTTTTCTCAGTGAAAGTTAAAAATCCTGACAAACCAATTGCTCCAGGACTTGATGTAACAGCCTTGGTTGAATATTACACTGAGCATGCAGAAGATAAACAAGACCGAGCAATTCTATTGGTCGACAATGACATCATTGAGATTCCTTTGATAGCGTAAGTTTAAGTATCATGAAAATAATTAACCCAATGAGTCACCTTGACAAGTAAAATCGTCTGGCGAAAATTCACTTTTTCCGGTGGGGGGGGCAAAGCCTCCTAAATTTCCGACAAAACTTTCAAATTTCTGACATACCTCCCACTTGCACTCGAAAAGACTGTTTTTAGCCCTCTTTTAGATCAAAATTTGCGAAAATTCGTCAATTTTGCGGAAGGTGGGGGGGGCAGCCGCCCCCCCCCCTCCCACCAAGATTTCCGCCACTGCAGTAAAGTAGGTTGCATCAGGGTGCATTGCTACTTAAAGGTTTAATATTAACAGAGATTTGTTCAGGAATTAATTAGAGGTTTGTTTTTTGTTCCATGGTATGTATTTTTTTCTTCTTCTCAATTTAGATTCACTCCATCTCCTCAACTGGAAATCAGAGGTCCAGTGAATTTTGGTTCAACAGTAGCAGACGGGAAGGTTCTTACTGCCTACTTCTCCATTGATAACTATGGAAGCAAAGCAGGGGAGTTTAAGATCAAATACACTGGAAAAGAACCTCTAACTTTATCTCCCACTAGCGGCGTGGTTGAGGCGGAAACATCTCAAAAAATTAAGGTGATTTTGTGTTTTGCCTGTTAGTAATAAAGTAACCCACTTCATTTAATTTATATTTGGCAGCTCTATCATGTTGCAACTATACATGCAGTAATAAATCTATGTGGTGTTTCCACAAACAAAACTATTATATGTTTTATCGACATGCAAACATACAAAGAACTTATACATGTAGATGCCCAGTATGGGCCATTATGGCACTTACTATAATAATTCCTTATTACTCCTGTTAATTGGGACATGGGAAAGCAAGTGAGATGTAGATATGTTGTTAAGTAGATAAATTTGTTTCTCCTTTTAGGTGGAATTTATCAGTAAAAGCTGTGGAAAACTACAAGAAATTGTGAAGTAAGGATAATAACTATTCTGTGCAAGCCTGTAGATTTATCATATCAAGTACTTGCATTACTTAGGTTTATACCATAAATAGTGAAAAACATGTCAATCTAGATCAAAAGTCAAACTTTTGATATGCTGAATCTATAATGCATTAATCTTGCGAGTTTAGGTCATTTACATCAGGGTCAGCAAATAATTAGTGTAATGTTTCAATTAATAGGCCTAATTTTTCCAATTATTTAGTGTGAAGCTGGAAGGCCAAGAGCAAGCTCATGTAGAGATTCTAGCAAAAATAGTTGAAAGAAACATCCAGTTTTTGAATCCAGCAAGCAAAACACAAGTACAACATGTACAATTTGGCCCAACATATTATGGCACTGATCAACTGCAGTCCTTCTTGTTGTGCAATAATGGACCAGATATGATCAATTTTGTTGTCTTGTTGGATGAGGATAGCGAAGGGCAGGAGGTGGTAAGTTGGGATCTATCTACAAATTATTTAGATCCTTGTAAAAAAAGCTGATTTACATTTGCCTTGTTTGTGCATTAAATAATTCCAGCTATAGGTGAAATTTTGATCTAGACATGAAGAACAAAGTCCATTACCATAGCTGGAAAGCGCATCTTAAAATGAGTAGAATTGCAAAGTTTGGTTGTGAATGGTTGTAAAATGAAGAAAATATAGCCCTGTGAAGTTCGCAAATTTTGTATATATTTGCATTACGCGCGATAAAAATAACCATTTTTGACCCGCACCTCCTCGACATTGTGGTATATAGGTTGGATCTCTGAAAATTACGCACCCCCTCTATCTGATGAGCATCAGACACGCCCTTTTGCGAAGTATATCACATCATGTTGCAACTCCTAAACAGTGTTCTCTTTTCAGGGTCTAGATTTAACCAAGACTGCAACAGCGTTGATGGTATCTCAACCACAATCTCAGTCAGATGATGGTGATGAGACAGAAGACTTAACCTCCTTAATTACAGTCTTTCCTAACCAAGGAACGCTTGCTCCAGGAGAAACTGCAGAACTTTACTTCAAATTTAGCCCAAGATTTCAAAGATCGAACTTGGGATGGAAGAGCGTTGAGGAAGTAGCGCCAAGGAAGGATTATGCATTGTTTATTAACATTGAGGCAGTTGGCATTATTAACAAGAATGATGAAGGCACATTTAAACATGGTACGCAATCATGTCTTAACATTGCCATTGCCACTGGGGAGAAATGTTTTTCACGAATAAATTAAGTGTTTTATTTTTTTTTTAATTTTCAAACGCTTATTGGTTAAGCAACGACGGTTTCCTTATTCCTAAACACGCAAAAAGACTGGCAGTGATAATTTACAGCAGCTAGCTGTGTATGTTGAACTATCCGAAAAAAGTCTCGTTGTAGGGAGGTTAAGATTGACGTGAAGAATGACGTCTACGGCAGAACACAAACGGCAAACTTCAATTTAAATATGTTTGAAGCGAAACCAGGATTATTCATGATAAGTTTGTAGGCGTTCTCTGGTTTTAAATATTTATTTAGTACGAGCTTTTGACTGCCAGTCTGTAGTCTTCAACTGGTGGATTACAATGTTGAAGACTGCAGACTGGCAGTCAAAGTTTGTACTAGGCAAACTTCAATTTTGAAGTCCAATTTTGAGGTCAACTGTTAGCTGTTCAAAGTTAGGACAATTTGTGCACTAAAAATTGAAGCGTGAATTAGCTAAAAACTTGTCGAAACCTTCAAAAACTTGTAGAATTTACCTTCAAATGCATGCGATTTGACGTTTGTCGTTTGCGGTCTGCCGTAAAAGTCAATCTTAACCTCTCGATTAAGAAAATTTTGACGTCTCCAGCCATGATCCTTCATCAGTTATGCCGTTTCGACTGGTATATATTTTTTTCTCATCATTTCCAGGATGCAAACTTGAGATTGCAGTTTCAGGCACGGCTGTACCGGTGGATATCTCTGTTCATCCTAGTGCTAAATTCTTATTTGGTGAATGTAGTGTTGGCGAACACATCAATGCTTTATGTTCCATTACTAACAACTCCACCCTCCTGCCAACTACGTTTGCTACAAAACCAGTAGCCCATTTTCACCCCAAACCATGCAAAGCTGCCCTGAAACCCTCCCACTCGGCTGATATCATGATCTCATTTAAACCCAAACAAATGGGAACATTCGCGTCGAAGTTAGAGTTGAACTTTCTGGGTGCAATCCTAGACCCTGATACAACACCCAACGCCAAAACGCCGGTTGTTTATAAACAAGTTGTCATACATTCCTTGTGTTTACAACTTCACGGCGTTTGTAACAATCCAGGTGCCTCGGCAAGGAGTGACGCGCGTCACATGGGCTTACCATCATCTGTCAGTTCACCGAGGACAAGTGATATTAGAAACAAGAAAAGTGGCTTTGACGTCGCCCAGCCCAATGATAGAGCGACAAGCATCCGTCCGGCTGAACGGCACTCAAAAATTCGGTAAGTAAATGAAGGCGTAGACTCGGTAAGTAAATGAAAGCGTAGACTTGCTCCACAAGTAGGGGTGCACCGGATTTGAAATCCGGCCGGAATTCCGGCCGGATTTAACGAATTTTCCGGCATCCGGCATCCGGCCGGATTTGGAGAAAATCCGGCCGGATTTAAATTTCTGTTTTCACCTTAAAAAATTCACCAAGGATGGGATAAACCATCAATTTGGCAGCTTTAAAGTTAAAAAAAAACTTATACTATTAAAAATATTAAGTTATTAACAAAAAGATATTTAAAAAAGGTTTAAACACAGTCAAAAATCTAAACTGACACTAACTAAAAATAGTAAAAAACATAAACCGCCATTTTGAATACTGATTTATCCCCAATTGTTCCCATTACCGGTTTATCTCAAATCCGGCAAATCCGGCCGGAATTCCGGCCGGAATTTTTGTCCAAATCCGGTAAATCCGGTTCCGGCCGGATTTGAAAATTCCAAATCCGGTGCACCCCTAGTATAGTTTCAGGTAGTTACATCCCTACCAACGAAAGCTTGTCCTGTTCATGAAATGATTCATAGTCTATCAAGATATGATGGTCTAGCTGGAAACTAAACAGAAGTGATTGTGTTGTTTTTGTTGGACATTATGTTAATTTGTCTGTTATAACAAGAATTGACAGTAACAAGATACCATGATACCTTAACTGTGTTTGACCAAATGCAATTTATATTTTTTGGAGGTGTTTTTGCCCCAATCAAAAACAAAAATTTAATGTCTTTATTCACAAGATGATCAAGTTTGGCTCGCCATTCTTCTTCATTGTCTTTTATTTCCTTTATTTTCACTTGAAAATGATTCACATTAACATTTTTCACCTTTGGAATAAAAAGAACAGAGAGCTGTTCACTTAAACTTTTTCGTACAACAGGACACCCGAAATTTGTCTCTCCAATAATGCCACCCACTTCTCTCGCACCAATAACAATACAATCCTTGGGAAGGTTATCGGTGATCTTTGAGAGAAGCTTTTTTCTGAACTCGGCCAATGTCATTGGATCAAATATTTCATAACACAACATAACCATAGCGGATGGAACTATATCAATGTCATTCAAAAATTCAAGAATTTGCTTTCGGATGTCATCAATCACAATCTAAGAAAAGTAAAATAGAGGATTAATTTTAAGCATGTCACCACGCCCCCCCCCCCCAAAAAATGTTGAATTTAGGGTCAGATGACATCCTTTCTGTGACCATGTAGTTGAGTACGAAACGACTCGAATCACCCGATACCTTCTGCATAATTAAGACAACATACCTGGAAGGTCAGTTCGTCTTTGCGACATTTGAACACCCGACTGACAAAATACTTTCTTTGGGTTAATTCTCTTTGAGCGAGGTCCTTCCACAAACGACAGACGAGCAAAGCATTGACCAAACTACGTGCCGGTAAAAAGCTCAAAATATTTGCTAAAGTTTCAGGAGGCAATGCTGTAATATTTCTCACTGTATTGGAATCCATGGTGCTTTATTTTAAAGCTGTAAATGCATTGTACATGAAGGACATTTCTATAAAAAATTGTAATTATTTGCATTCAAATATCTCAAAATTTTAAATGTACGTTGTTGTTAATAGTGCTTCCATTGTCCAAAAGCAAAACTTCTTTTCTTTAAGGTGGCTCAGGGTGGCTCAAACAGTTTAAAAAATGGAAAATTCACGATCAGATACGTATTTTCGTACAGAATGAAAATACTAGGCGGAGTAGGCGCTGATTGGCTGAACGGGTATAATCAGGTTCTAAAGAGCCGAACATGGCACAAACCCAACCCATTTCAGTACGCCATAATTCCAGGGAACCTGTTCACAAACTATGATAGATAATCTAATCTTCTTAAAAACACAATGTAACGCTGAAAGAAAACGAGTATTATATACAGATATCAATTCAGTTAAATAACTATACAAAAATCGTTTTATAAAATATCGTTCTTCAGCATATGTTATCTCTTAGGACACTGTAGAAACTCCTGAGCTTCCTTCCAACGTTTGACTGGAAAACGACGAGGTAATAATATTCTCCTTGACATTTCATCTGCAAAGCAAACGAAGACCAATGAGACTATTTCCAAAATTCCATATTAACATTCTCATTTTCAATACCAGAGGCCTGTTTAAATATTTAAAGCCTATACTTATGGTTACAGGGAAAGCCAAGGAAGATATATGAATCTTACCGAGCATTGGTTGTGAACTGTGGGCATTTCCCAGTTTTTCCTGTTGAAAATCCAAACTTTGATCCTAGAAAATGATTTTAAGAGTACATATAATATTTGGTATAAATATGTGAAAGAGATATGGCAACATAAAATCAGTTTATTCTATTTGAAGAACCTTTTAGAGCTTTTTGAAATATTGCTTAGTTCTTGAAATATTTTGAACAAAATGTCAAAACCATCACAATTTGGATTATTGATTATTGTGAATATGCAAGAGATATATAGTCCCACTAGTCTATGAGCCCAACATCATACTTCGGTCATTATTTCAAATATTATAAACGGACAACATTATAAACATTTACCAATTGTTATGCATGTGGTCATCTTGAAGCCGCTTTATACGGACATGGATAATAAAATACATGGATAGGAAACTAGCTGACGTGACCTAATGTTTTCAATGGGATGATGGCGTTGCAACCTAGTTGCAAACCAAATTCTCAAAAACGGCATGTTTAGCGATAATACAGCTAAACATTTTAGTTAAAGAGCAAATAAACATGACTAAGCCATTCTACGATGAAATCTCTAAGTATTCCCGGTCAATTTTAGCAAATATTTCAAGCACTAAACACTGAAAAATGCATCGCAAATTTCGTAAAAATTGGCGACGCCAATTTCGTAGCTACAAATGTTAAAAAATACAAAACAAAGACGAAAAACACTTACCTTGAATACTTTGTCGTGGCTTAGGCATGTTTTTAAAACAATTAGACCAGTTTATGCTTCAATATTACTCTTTTGAAGCGGAAAATATAGCGAAACAACAAAAATGTTGAAAATTTTCGCAATACACATGACGTCACAGATTGCAACTAGGTTTAGACTGTGACGTCAGGAAGTTTCCTATCCAGTTATTTTACAATCCATGATACGGATAACCTTGCTTGCCGTCACTAAAACTGACTAATCCAAGATGGCGGATAGTGTTTTCAATCAAAATGTTCCAAGTTTATACGAAAAATCAGTCAAAGAATTTATATATAATTTTAAGCATTCTTTCAAATGAGACAAACCAGCAAAGTTTCAGTTGCCATATCCCTTTTCGAGTATACATATCGTTTTTGGTATAAATATCACTTTTCAGTTGAAGATGGTTTTCAGTAAGATATTTTTGAAAGAGAAACTTAACTCATTAGGGAAATATAAACATACCTCCAAATAATTATTCAACAAC